TCATTCCTGCACGTCTGTGTTTGTAGATGATGATCACACCTGCTGCATGAGGATAGGTAGGGAGGAGCCCTGCCTTCACCTGCCTCAGCAAACACTTGTTTCTAACTCTCTATCTTTCTCCCTCCTCCCTGTAAAAAATAAATAAATAAATAAATAAAATATATTTAAAATAAAAAAGCCTTTGACACGATGCCTGCCTTGTGAAACAGAAGGGCTTTGTGATGCAGTCTGGTGACCAGGTTCTATTCTCTGTGAGGCGGAGATGACAAGGCAGAGCATTGGGAATCATTAGACAGGAGGATCCTGAACGCCTAGATATAGGGATGGCTCCTCCCCTCATGCTAAAGCCATGTTGAGCGTTACTTTTGTTCTTCGGAGTGTTGGATATTTCTTATATACATATGGTGCCATCTTCCTTATTATCCTAATTATCTGGCAAGTGAAGAGGAGTTACTATGGGTTAAGGTTGGAACCTAAAAGGAGCTGCTACCAGGTAGGGAAATAATAACACCGTAATTGAACTAGTTAAGTTTTAGATAAGAAGCTTTTTAAGATCTCAGAGCCTCCTTTTACCTTTCTTGCCAATTTTTATACTATACATTCAGATACTCTAACATGGTGCTTTTCCAGAGCCTAGAAGTAATTTTTTTAAAAAAATATATTTTATTGAATTTTTACAGAGAGCAATGGAGAGGAATAGAGAGGCAGAAACATCAATGCAAGAGAAACATCGATCAGCTGCCTCCTGCACACTCTCCACTGGGGATGTGCCCGCAACCAAGGTACATGCCCTTGACCGGAATCGAACCTGGGACCCTTGCGTCCGCAGCCCGACGCTCTATCCACTGAGCCAAACCGGTTAAGGCTAGAAGTAATTTCTTACTAAGCAATCCCTGCAGTGTATTTTAATGGGAAGATTAAGAACCTCTCTGTCTACCTTGGGTTGAGACCTAGGTGAAATGGAATCTATCTCACTGGATCTCAGAAGACATCCCAATATGGGGGTTTCTTCTGGTTGGTGGACTTAGTAAGCTAAAGTCCTAGGGCTGTTAAAACTAATCACCATCACCTTTTAATTTATTTCAGTATTGCTCCTGTGTCATACTTAGCCCTCTAAAGAACCTGTCCTAAGAAAGTGAACAGGAAGTAAGGAATGTGGAGAGACTTGAAGTGAGAAATAAGTAGAAAAATAAAATGTTGGGGTGAAAGACTGGAGTAGAGGTAGGGAATATAAGTGAGTGCATTAAATACAGACATACATAGACAGGATTTTGGAAATTTATATTTTTGTCTCATTTTGGATATAAAAATGGAAAGTGTCCTAACTTCACACTCTAACATTTTTGTCTTTAAGTGTCACCAAAAACTCAAGCCAAAGGCTAGGGATGCAGTATCAAAAGGTAAAGCACTTGTCTCTTCTCTGACTCCCCTTTACTGCGGGTTGGGTTTCCGTGGATTTTGTCCCTCTTTGATCTCTGGTGCTTGGGTTCTCAAAACACGAAACGTTCCAATTCCACAAGTTGACACTCTCTCCCAGAAGACTTTCTTTTTTTTTTTTAATTAAATCTTTATTGTTCAGATTATTACATTTGTTCCTCTTTTTTCCCCCATAGCTCCCCTCCACCCAGTTCCCACCCTACCCTCTGCCCTTCTTCCTGCACCCCCAGACCCCTTTCCCCCCGAGAATTGTCAGTCTACTCCCTTGCTATAGGAGGAATCTGAGGAAGTCAAGAAGCCCAGACTGGAATAGAGAGCTCACAGCTGCAATAAACAAAGAGGAGAGGACAGGGACCCTGCTGTATTGATGGGGACAGAAGGGAGTCCTTTTGGGTTTTTAGGTTTTTGGGTTTTTGGGAGGGAATGCTGGGACCCTGCTTAGGGTGGATCTCAGTAGACTTGTGTTTGCTTGTGTTATCAGTGGGCCCAGGCTCCAGCTCCCTCCAGGGGACCCTCCCAAAAAGATACTTGGAAGTTTGTGAGCCCCAGGCCCCAAGGAAAGGGGAGGCAGTCTCCGCTAAGGGTGGGGGTAGCCGTGGGAGTGAGAGACCGCTGCCCATAGTCAAGGAAGGGATCCCTCTAGGCCAGTGGTTTTTAACCTTATAGCCCTTTAAATACAGTTCCTCATGTTGTGACCCAAGCATAAAATTATTTTCGTTGCTACTTCATAACTGTAATGTTGCTGTTCTTAA